CCAGTGTTAGCCAGACCAAGAACGGGCTGAGCGGTCTCCTCGCCGAGTGAGACGTGGCGAGACGGTACTGATCATGCACCGCGGCCAGCCGGTAGCAAGAATCACCAGCTACAACCCGGCGGAACTGACGGACGACCAGGCGATGGCGGAACTCGTGCGCAGCGGGCTGGCTGATCCTCCGGAGGCACCGCTCGACGTCGACCGGTTTCTGGCGACGCCGCGGCCTCGTCTTGCGGACGGTCTCAGTGTCAGCGAGCTTGTCGCGGCGGAACGCGAGGAAGGCCGCTGAGATACTGGGACTCCTCGGCCCTGGTGGCGTTGCTGGTCGACGAGTCGACGAACGAACATCGCCGGGATCTGCTGGCGGACGACGGTCGCATAGTCACGTGGTGGGGAAGTTGTATGATCGGCGCATGCCCGGCGGCGACTGCGCGGAGCTGATCGATCCGTTCACACTGAGCGCCGCCGACGGCTACTCGTGGCTCAAAGGCAACCTGCATTCCCATACGACCTGCTCGGACGGCTGCCTGTCACCGCAGCAGCGCGCCGGCGCCTACGCGGCCAACGGCTACGACTTCCTGGCGATCACCGACCACCACCGCATCACCTGCATCTCCGGCATCACCCCGGCCGACGGTCTGGTCCTGATCCAGGGCGTCGAGCTGCATCCCGACAACCCCTTCGGAGGCCAAGTGCACCACTTCATCGGCCTGCATGTCAGCGACGACATCGATGCCGCGAAGCTCGCGCCGCAACATGTCATCGACGCGGTCCGCGAGCAGGCGGTTCGGTGTGGTTGGCCCACCCGTACTGGAGCTCGGTCTGCATTCCGCGCGACACGCTGCCCTTGCGCGGCTTGGCCGGCATCGAGGTGTTCAACGCAGCGTGCGGCCTGCAGGGCAAGCCGGAGTCGGCGGTGCTTTGGGACGAGTGGATGGTGCACACCGACCGGCTCTTTCCGGCGCTGGCTAACGACGACTCCCATTTCCGAGACGAGGATCGTCGCGACACGTACGAAGCATGGACGATGGTGCGGACGCGCGAGCGTTCAGCGACGGCGATCGTCGATGCGCTGGTGAGCGGCGCCTCCTACGGGACCACCGGACCGGTCATCCGCGATATCCAGCTGCGACGCGAGCGATCGGCGAGCGGGCGCCGAATCGCGGCTACCGTGGCGTGCTCGGAAGCAAAGCGGATCGATGCGATCAGCGATCTGGGCGGGGCATCCTATCGCGTGCCGGATGCGACCTTCGAGCAGGCAACATTCCCTTTGAAGATCGACGCTCGCTGGGTGCGGTTCGAGGTGATCGCGCCCGACGGCAGGAAGGCTTGGTCCAATCCGTTCGATCTCACCACTCGCTGAAGGCATGCGGACCCTTGGCCTACTCGCGAAGACCGACCGAGCGGCGGCGTTCTATCGCTCTCGGCCCTCTCCGGTGATCGGCACGCTCATCTCCGACATCTGCGACGCGGCCGATCCGTACGCATCCTCATGATGGCAGTCAGAGGGACGCCGCACCGATGGCCGTTTCTGGACTGGTCATTGGTGCAACCCGGCTACCAGCACATGCCGCGCTCGCCGAAGTACGGCAACGTGCCGTACGGGATCGCGATCCGATCGCAAACCCGCGCACCGGTCAGTTCCCTGGCTCCGTGCGGACAGGCCGTGGGAAGAGCAAGCGCTCGGCAAATCGCAGTCTCTCATCTACGAGAACGGCACCTACCGGCTGTGGTATGAGGCGGCCGCAAGCGACTACAACTGGCGTTCTTCGAATCTGACCGACTACAGCCACCGGCTGTGCTACGCCGAATCGAGTGACGGCGTGCGCTGGCACAAGCCGAACCTCGGCCTTGTGGAGTTTCGCGGCGATCGGAACACGAACATCGTCTTCGACAGGACGCACAACGGCGGCCGCGCCTGTCTGGGCGGAACGGTGTTCGTCGACCCGGTCGCACCGGCCGCCGAGCGCTACAAGCACATCTTCCTGGGCGCCGAGCCACGCACGTGGCAGATGCAGGGTGCGGTGTCGGCGGATGGACTGCAGTGGAGTCCGATCGCCGAGCCACTCATCGACGGCTTCATGAGCGACACCCAGACCACCGCACATTATGACCCGCTACGACGCCGCTACGTCGGGTACTTCCGCACGTGGATGGCCGGCGGTGTGCCCAGCTCATCGTTTCGATCGCGCCAGAGCCGGCGGTCGATCTCCCGCGCCGAAACCGCCGACTTTCGGATCTGGCCCCATCCTGAGACGACTGCCTGCCTCGGTGTGGCTCACCATCCGTCCCACGATCTGTATACCAACGCGCACGCCTTGTATCCGGGACGGGATGATCTGCATCTGTTCTTCCCCGCCCAGTTCAGCCGCGAAAAGGACACGCTGCAGGTCCACCTGGCCACGAGCCGGGACGGTGTGCGGCTGGAGTATTTCGGCGACCGGCCGGTGGTACCGATCGAAGCGGACGGCGCCGGAGACGAGAAGCGCGTCTATGCGGGGGTGGGCATCGTGCCGCTCGGCACGGATACCGTGGCCGTGCCTTGTAGCCGCTGGCACCACACCCACAACGAGGATACCGCCGAGGGATTCCGGGAGGCGTACCAGGGCGAGTACTTCTGGGCGACCTGGAGCGTCGACCGCTTCGCGGCGGTGGAGGCCGACGAACGCGGCTTCTTTGCGACACCGGTGTTCGACGACCCACTGGCCGGGATATCCGTCAACGCCACGACCTATCCGTCGGGGGAGATACGGGTCCAGCTCACCGATGAGACGGGGGTGCCCATCGAGGGGTATGCGTTCGCCCAGTGCGACCCGGTGCGGGGTGACGAGATCCGACGTCCGGTAACCTGGCGAGGCCGCCCCGAGATCGCGGTGCATCCCGAGAGACCCCTGGTGATCCAGATCCGGATGACGCGGGCGAAGCTCTACGCATTGTACACGGCATGATCTGCGGACGCCCGGTCGACGCGCGGTGATGCGATGATCCTGGCTGTCCTGCGCCGGCTCCGGCTGATGGTGGTGACCCTGGCCGCGATCTCCGTGCTCTCGTTCCTGATCATCCAGGCACCGCCGGGCAACTACCTGGACACCTACATCACCCAGCTGCGCATGCAGGGCGACGCCATCGACGACGCCAGGATCGAAGCGCTCGAGGCCCGCTACGGCCTGGAGCGCCCGATGCACGTGCAATACCTCAAGTGGATCTGGGGCGTGCTGCGCGGCGACCTGGGGCGCTCGATGGCGCACAACATGGAAGTCAACGAGCTGATCGCGCAGCGGTTGCCCGCCAGCCTGGCGATCTCGACCATCTCGCTGATCCTGGTCTACCTGCTCGGTCTGCCGATCGGGATCTACTCGGCCACCCGGCAGTACTCGCCCGGCGACTACCTGTTCACGTTCATCGGCTTCATGGGACTGGCGATTCCCAACTTCCTGTTCGCGCTGATCCTGCTGTGGCTCATCTTCGAGGCTACCGGCAACGCGGCCATCGGGCTGTTCTCCGCCGAGTACGCCAACGTGCCGTGGAGCGTCGCCAAGCTGGTCGACCTGCTGAAGCACCTGTGGATGCCGGCCCTGATCGTCGGCACCGCCGGCACCGCCGGCCTGATCCGGGTGGTGCGCGCCAGCCTGCTCGACGAGCTGCGCAAGCTGTACGTCACCGTCGCCCGCGCCAAGGGCGTGGCCGAGCGGCGGCTCCTGTTCCGCTATCCGGTGCGCATCGCGCTGAATCCGGTGATCAGCACGATCGGCTGGACCCTGCCGGCGCTGGTGTCGGGTGAGCTCCTGGTATCGCTGGTCATGGGCCTGCCCACGGTGGCGCCGCTGTTCGTGCAGGCGCTGATCAACCAGGACATGTTCCTGGCCGGCAGCGTCGTGATGGTGCTGAGCAGCCTGACGGTGCTCGGCACCCTCATCTCCGACATCCTGCTGGTCGCGATCGATCCGCGCATCCGGGAGGCGGTCTGAGGTGGCCGGGGGCGGCCGCGGCAGCGAGCGCGCGCGGCACGATCGCACCGAGCGCGAGCAGGTCTCCTCGCAATGGCGCCTGATCCGCATCCGCTTCCTGCGCCACAAGGTGGCGGTCGCCTCGCTGGTGCTGCTCGGCATCTTCTACTTCGGGGTGCTGTTCGCGGAGTTCGCGGCGCCCTACGACCCCCGCCGGCGCAGCCCGGAGCAGCAGTACTCACCGCCGCAGCGGCTCCGCCTGTTCCACGACGGCCGCCTGAGCGCGCCGTTCGTGTACGGGCTGTCGTCCGAGCTGGACATGGACACGTTCCGCTACGTGTACGAGGTCGACCGGGAAGCCCGGCAGCCGGTGGCGCTGTTCGTGCGCGGCGATCCGTATGAGCTGTGGGGCCTGTTTCCGTCCGACGTGCACCTGTTCGGGGTCACGGACGGTCGCCGGGCGTATCTGTTCGGGACCGACAACCTGGGCCGCGACCTGCTGTCGCGGGTGATCCACGGCGGGCGCATCTCCCTGTCGATCGGGCTGGTCGGCATCGCCATCAGCTTCCTGCTCGGCATCATCCTGGGAGGGATCTCCGGCTACTTCGGGGGGACGGTGGACGTGGTCATCCAGCGGCTGGTGGAGTTCCTGCGCTCCATCCCCGACCTGCCGCTGTGGATGGCGCTCAGCGTGGCGCTGCCCCGCTACTGGTCGATCGAGCGGATCTACTTCGGCATCGTCGTCATCCTCTCGCTGGTCGGCTGGACCTCCATCGCGCGCGTGGTGCGCGGCAAGTTCATGGCCGTGCGCGAGGAGGAGTTCATCACCGCGGCCGTCGTCGCGGGCGCCGGCACGGGGCGCATCCTGTTCCGCCACCTGCTGCCCTCCTTCGCCAGCTACATGATCGCCTCCCTGACCCTGTCGGTGCCGGGGATGATCCTGGGAGAGACCGCCTTGAGCTTCATCGGCCTGGGGCTGCAGACCCCGGCGATAAGCTGGGGGGTGCTGCTGCAGGAGTCGCAACGCATCCACGTGCTGGCCGGATCGCCCTGGCTGCTGCTCCCGGGCGGCCTCGTGATCGTGACGGTGCTGGCGTTCAACTTTCTGGGAGACGGGCTGCGCGACGCGGCCGATCCGTACACCGCGACGTAGCCATAGCCGTCTGATGGAACTAACGCCGTTCCATTTCGTACTTCAAGCCTCCAGGAATTCCTGCCAATCGACACCCGAGCAACATCAGCTTGCGAGCAACTTCTCGATATTTCACCGAGCGGCAATCACCGTCTCCAACCACACCGGGCTGTCACCATCAAGAATCCACGTGCTCTTGGGGAGCGATCTGTCCATATCTTCATACAATTCGATCACCGCCGCGAGAGCATCTCTGGCATTCTCCAGCGCATCGGATACCGAGTCGCCTTCCGTGACCAACTCCGGCAACACGGGCGAGGTGACTGTATAACCACCTTCCGGTTGTGGTGTCATGACGAGCGGTACCTTGTAATCCATCAAGTCCTCTCCTCGGTCTCTTTACCAATCGACAGGGAGGAGGGATCGTCCCTCCTCCCTGCTGTCGCTTCGGATCCGCGTTCTAGGACTTGAAGTAGAACTGCGCGGGCACCTCGTGGATGTGCTCGGCGATGATCGGATCGGGGATGTTGCCCAGATTGACGTTGACGATTCCGTAGTAGTCCTGTCTCGGAGGGCGCACCGCGCCGATCATGTACAGCTCTTCCTCCAACAGAGAGAAAACCTCCATGGTGATCGCGACGCGTTCCGCATTGTCCGAGATGGAGATCGCGCGCTCGCGCAGCGCCGCGATCTCCTTCAGCGCATCCGGAGGCTCCATGCCCTCCTCGCCGCTGGAGTTCAGCCAGGCGGCCCACTCCCTGCCGGGCGTGAACCAGGTGCCGACCGGTACGACCTCACCCCTGACCAGCGGGTTCATCGGCCGCCCGGCCAGCCCGAACGGGAACATGATCAGGTCGAAGTCGTTCGTGTTGTAGATGCCCCCGAACGCGTCCCAGCTTCCGGCGCGGGCGACGGTCTCGATGCCGACCTCACCCCAGTAGCCGCTGTACAGGTCCGCGATCTCGGCGGTCTGGCCCCCCGGCATCGCGTAGATCTGCATGCGCAGGCGCTCGCCGTCGGAGCGCAGGCGGTAGCCGTCGCCGTCCCGCTCGTCCAGACCCAGCTCGTCCAGGATGCCGTTTGCCTTGTCCGGGTCGTGCTCCAGGTACACCTTGAACAGGTTCTCACCGTAGTACGGTGGGCCGGCCTCCACGGTCGGCTGCGACGGAATGCCCAGCCCCTTGTAGAACGTCTGATTGATCTCGTCGCGGTCGATGGCGTGGGACAGCGCGATGCGGAACCGCTTGTCGCTCTGCAGCTCCCTGAGCACCACGTCCTCATGGGCGAAGTTGAACAGGATCAGCCCCTGCTCGCCGCCGGGCCACCAGTATTGGATGCGGCTATAGCCTGCGCTCTCGGCGTTCTCGTTGACCACCGCCAGGTTGGCGATGCCCCCCCACGGGCCGGGCGCCTGCAGGTCGGACTCTCCGGCCAGGATCTTCAGCAGCTCGGCCTCCCCCGGCGGAACGCCTTGCGAGTGGATGGCGTCGATGTAGGGAAGCTGATTGCCGGCCGTATCGATCTTCCAGTAGTAGGGGTTGCGACTCATGACCAGTACCTGGTCGGTCTTTTCGTTCTCGAGCTTCCAGGGGCCGATCACCGGCGTCATGGGGCTGTGCTGCGGATTGTAGATCTCCGTGAACTGGTCGGTCCAGGTCTCGAAGCCGTTCTCCTTCACCGCCGCCTCGACCTTCTCCATCGACGTGTGACCCGGGTGGAACTGCTTCAGGAACTCCGAGTGCGCGTAGTTGGCGGGCCGCCACCGCGCCATGAACTCCACGAACATGCCGGCCTGCACGTCCCAGGAGATCTGCACCGCGGTATCGCTGACCTTGGTCATCGTCCCCGCACTGCCGCCGAACCGCATCTGCGACGGCGGCGTGGGGAACAGCTCCTCGTTGAGGCCGATCTCGTTCCAGTAGAACAGGAAGTCGTCCGCGACGAACGGCTTGCCGTCGCTCCACTTCATCCCCTCACGCAGGTGCAGCGTGATGGTCGTCCCGTCGGCGTTCCAATCCCAGCCCGCCAGGGCATTCGGGAAGATCGAGCTCATGTCCGGCGAGTACGCCGTGGCGTACTCCCACACCCAGTGGTCGCCGTTGATTATGGTGCCTGCCGGGCGCAGCTCGCGCAGCACGCCGCCGTACTGGCCGATCTCGTCCACCGGCTCGACCACCAGCGGGTTGCTCGGCAGCCGTTCCGCCAGCGGCGGCAGATCGCCGGCCGCCACCATGCTGGCCAGCATCGGCGCCTCGCTGAACGAGGTGATCGCCCCGTGCATGCCTTCCCACTCGTCGAGCTGGTACACCTCGGAGTTGGTGTCCATCATCTGCGCCGTCGCCAGCGACGGCACGATCAGCAGCGCCGCCGCCACCGCGATCGGTGCCACGCGCCGCAGTAAGTCGCTTCTCATTCGCATGATGCGTCTCCTTTCGGTATTGAATCGAACGGTTTCGAGTCTACGCCAGCCGGAGGGAGACGCCAAGGCGCACGCCGCCGGCCCCTTTTCACGACCAGACGAACACCTCCGGATCGTCCTCCGAGTAGCCGATGAAGACCGCCAGCACGACGCGCGGCGAGGGGCCCTCCAGCGCCGGCACCTCGTGCACCAGGCGGGTGTTGAAGAAGTAGAGATCGCCGGGCTGCAGATCCACCTGGTAGTGCTCGATGGCGTTGGCCGCGGCGTAGGGCCGCGAACGCATCCTCCTGCAGGCACGGGCTCCAGCTCCGGCGTCCACAGGCAGCGGTGCAGGATCGACTGCGCGATCCGGCCGCCGGAGCGGTGGCCGCAGGAGCGGTTGCCGCCGGAGCGGCTGTTCTGCATGCACAGCACCCCGGCGAACTGATGCGCGAAACGGCTGACCGCGTAGTCCAGCCGCCGCTCGTGCTTGCCGGCGTGGTCGACGTGCGGCTGGTAGCGGTGCCCGGCGTAGTGGATGCGGAAGATCGCCGGCCCGTAGAAGCCCCCGTCCGGTTCGTAAGCGGTGGTTACCCGCTTGGCTGCCGCCAGTTGCTGCAACCGCTCGTAGACCAGCTTCACCGGGTCCGGGCGGCCCGCGAACAGGCTTGTGAACAGCGCCTGAGTCTCCTGCGCATGGGCCAGAAACGCCTCCTTGTCGGCGGCCCGGTTGCTCAGGCTGGTGCCGATGTCCACCCGGCGCGGCTGCACGCTGTCGGCCTCCAGCAGGCTGGTGTCCATGAGCCCGCGTTCCACGAAGCGTTCGATCAGCGCGGCGCAGTGCTCGGCCGGATAGGCTCCGCGCAGGACGATGGCCGGAACGTCCCCCCGTGCCAGCGACGCAAGCGGATCCGGATGCGCCGCCAGCACGCCCCTCACGTCCGATTCCGCCGCCGCCCAGCGCATGCGCCATCGTATCGTTCCAGCGGTGCGATGGCACGTGCCGTGGTGGTAGATTGAGCAGCAATCATGAGCTCACTGCATCCGTACCATCCTCCGTACGCCCGCTGCCGCGCCGGCGTCGCCCGGCGCGACGTGACACCGCCGGTAGGAATTCAGAGCCGCTGCTTCGGCGCGGCCCTGCACGAGACGGCCGAAGGCGTCCACCGGCCCTTCACCGCCACCGCCCTCGCCTTGGCCGACCTGGAAAGCGACGGCCCCCCGATGGTCCTGCTCGCCGTCGACATCGGCTGGCTGGAGACGGACGAGATGGCCGAGCTCCTGGAAGGGGTGCGCGAACCACTCGGCCTGAGTCCGGACCGGTTGTTCATCGCCTTCTCCCACACCCACGCGGGCGCGAACCTGTCGAGCACGCTGCGGGACCACCCGGGCGGCGACAAGATCCGCCCCTATTTCGAGCGGCTCATCAGCCTCTGCGCGGAGGCCGGGGCCGAGGCGGTCGGTAACCTGACGCCGGCATGGCTCAATTTCGGCTCCGGGACGTGCGACCTGGCGCAGAACCGGGACGCGTGGGATGAGGACTCACAGCAGTTCGTCACCGGCTTCAACCCCGACGGCGAAGCCGACGACACGGTCCTCGTCGGCCGCGTCAGCGCCGACGACGGGAGCGTGCTGGCCACGCTGGTCAACTACGGCTGCCACCCGACCACCCTGGGGCCCACCAACCGGCTGCTCTCCCCCGACTACATCGGCGCCATGCGCGAAGTGGTGGAAGACTCTTTCGGAGCGCCCTGCCTGTTCCTGCTCAGCCCGTGCGGGGAGACCGGCCCCCGCGAAGGATTCGTGGGCGACACCGCCGTCGCCGACTCCAACGGACGCCGCCTGGGATTCGCCGCCGCCGGCGCCGTCGAGTCCGTGCTGTCCCGCGGGAACGCAGCTCGAATACGACGGCCCCATCATCTCCGGCGCCACCCTCGGCGCGTGGAAGCGAACGCGACTCGATCCGTCCGCAGACGACCGATCGTTCGTGCTGCGCAGCCGCACTCTGCACATCGACCTGCCGATCAAGCCGCATGAATCGCCGGGCGACCTCCAGGCCCATCATGAGCAGGCCACCCGCGACCTGGAAGCCGCGCAAGCCTCCGGAGACCCCTTCGCCATCCGCGACGCCACCGCCCTCCGCGAGCGCGCCCGGCGCCGCCGCCTCCGTGGACCGACCCTGCCCGACGGCGGCACCTTGCCCTTCGATCTCTACCTCTGGCAGATCGGCGATGCCTTCCTCCTGGCCGTTCCCGCCGAGCCCTACTCCTTCCTTCAAAGCGAGTTACGTTCCCGCTTCCCCAACCGCCCAATCTTCATCTCCGTCGTCACCAACGGCACCCTCGCCTACTTGCTGCCCCAGGACCTGTACGGCAAGAACCTGTACCAGGACTGGGTCTCCTTCCCCGGCCCCGGGGGCTTGGAGGTCGTGCTGGAAACGGCGACCGCCGCGATCGCCGAATGGGCCGCGGCCGACTAGATCAGCTTCGGAACTGCGGCGCGACGGCGGTTCTGGTGCGCAAGTCGTCCCCGTAGATGTCGATGAAGCTCTGGAAGAACGCGCGCGTGGCATCCGGAAGCCTTGGCATCAGAGGTGACGACAGGAGCCAGGGCTGGTCCGAGAAGTAGTCGAAGATGCGCTCCCGGTCCGAGGTATAGGTCAGCATCAGCGTCCGGCGCCGCTTGTCGGTATGGTAGCGGCCGCGGTGCAGGCCCAGGGCCTCGAAGGCCAGCGCGTCGCCGGGACGCTGATGGATCCGGATGGCCCCGGGCATGTCGTTCGCCCGGCTGTTGGCCTGTCCGTCGGCCAGCCTGATGCGGTATTCCTCCTCGGTGTCCCAGCGCAGGTGTGAGCCGGGGACGTACTCGTTGTCGGCTGTCTCCGCCAGCGCGATCTGTAGCTGGATGCCGCCGGGCTTGCTGCGGGCGGCGATGATGCTCTGCTGCTGCGCCTCGTCGGGATTCATGAACTGCACGTCGCGGTGCCACGACCCGTCCTCATGCGCGGTCTTCGGCTCGAACCAGAGGGTGGTCGCGCGGAACACCGGCTCGCCGTCCAGGAGCTCGCGAGCGAATCCGAGGATGCGTTCGTCGGCGATCAGGTTCATCAGCGTGACGAAATCGTCCGGGTGGTCGCGGAAGTATCCCGGGTGGTTGACGTGCCGCATGTTGTGGCGGTCGCGATCGCCTGGCTTGCCGTCCTCGGCGCTGGCCAGCAGCCACTGCCGGCGGACGCGCTCGGCGATCCGCAGCAGGTCGTCGACCTCGTCGGCCGACAGCAGCGACCGGTACAGGCAATAGCCCAGCTCCGCCCACTGATCGCGCGGCGAGAGAGTCACGGCCGCGGTCACTGCGGCGCGCCGTCCATCAGCGCGTCGAATTCATCTTCCGACAGAAGGTTGTCGTCCCGGTCGAGCTGGTAGGCGATCGCGTAGGCCGCGCGGTTCACGCCGCTCAGATTGGGCTCGCCACGGTGCCATACGTAGTTCGTGAAAAAATAGGCGTCTCCCGGCCCGCCGGAGATCAGATCCTCGCGCGAGTCGTCCACCGCGTCCAGGGCGATCCGCTTGCGCTGGTACTGCGCGCCATCCCTGCCGAACGCCGGCACCTGATCCCAGTACAGCTCGTGGAACCGGATGCGCCAGCTCGCCTGCGTGCCCGGCAGAAACCCGAGCGCGATCGCATCCGGCGCCACCTGGTCCAGGGCGATCCAGCAGTTCAGGCACACCTTGGGCCGCAGCTTCCAGTAGAAGCTGTCCTGGTGGTAGAAGCTGCGCCCGGCCTTGTACACCCCCGGCTTGAAAATCGTCTGGTCGGTGTAGCGCTTCACCGGTCCATCGAGCAGCGCCTCCATGGCGCCCACCAGCTTCGGGTTGCCGGTGAAGTCGTCGAACACCGATTCGATCGCGGCCGGTTGCTGCAGCGAGCCGGAACGGTAGTTGCCGCCGGGGGTGTCCTTGTCCTCCGGATCCCAGGTCTGCAGGTGCCGGTGCGGCCACCCGTAGTCGTGGTAGCCGTCCCAGAGCTCCTCCATGCGCGCGCGCACCGGCGTGGTCTCCGCTTCGTTCAACAACCCGCGGACGACGCAGTAGCCGTCCCGATCGAGCTGCTGCTTGTGTTCTTCGGTGACCATCCAGGCCCTCCTTGGTGCGTACCGCCCGAGTATACAACCGGCGGGCTACGATGCTCCGTCGGTAAGCTCCGCGAACTCGGCGTCCGTCAGCCGGTTGTCGTCGCGGTCGAGCTGGTAGGCGATCGCGTACGCGGCGCGGTTGACGTCGCCCACGTTGGGCTCGCCGCGGTGCCACGTGTAGTTGGTGAAGAAGAACGCGTCGCCGGGCTCGCCGGGAATCAGCTTCTCCGAGGAGCCATCGACGACCGACAGCGGTATTCGCCGGCGCTGGTACTTGTTGCCGTCGCGGCCGTGCTTGGGCACCTGGTCCCAGTACGACTCGTGGAATTGAATCCGCAACCGGCGGTGCGAGCCGGGCAGGAAGCCCAGCGCCATGATCCCGCGGTCGACCCGATCGAGCGCCACCCAGCAGTTCAGGCACACCTTCGGCCGCAATTTCCAGTAGAAGCAATCCTGGTGATAGAAGCTACGGCCGGCCTTGTACACTGCCGGCTTGAAGATCGTCTGGTCGGTGTAGCGCTTCACCGCTCCCCCCAGCAGCGTCTCCATGGCACCGACCAGCTTGGGATTGCCGGTGAAGTCGTCGAAGACCGATTCGATCAGGGACGGCATCTGCAGAGAGCCGGACCGGTAGTTGCCCCCGGGGGTGTCCCGGTCCTCGGATCCCAGGTCTGCAGATGCCGGTTCGGCCATCCGTAATCGTGGCGCCCTTCGTACATCGCTTCGATCCGTGCGCGGACCGGGCGCGTCTCCTCTTCGGAATACAGCCCGCGGATCACGCAATAGCCGTCCCGATCGAGCTGCATCACGTGCTCGGCGGTGGCCGCCGATTCGGTGCCGATCGCCATCATCTGCCGCCGTATCCCATCTCGTCCCAGAGCTCCCGTGCCCGCGCCTTCGCCTCCGCGGTGGGCTCCCTGGTCGCCATGATGCTGGGCCGGGCGTCCGGGGGCTCGGCGCCGCCCGGCCACGGCGACCAGGTGTCATCCTGGTACCTCGCCCTCTGAGCTTCGTCGGAAAAGTCGGGGACCTCCACCGGTTGGCCGTTCTGCAGTGCGCTCCGCCACCCCAGGATGCCGACCGAGCTCATCGCCACGGCCCGGTACACGTCCAGGAACGGCGGCTCGCCCGACCGGATCGCCTGCGCGAAGTGGTAGTTGGTCCAGAAGTCCCCGCCGCCGTGGCCGGCGCGCTCGGCCAGCTCCCCGTGCTCCGGCCACTCGGGGAGGTAGGTGCGCTCCAGCGGCTGATCGGGCCAGCGGTTCCATTCCTCGTGCCAGACGCGAACCTCGCCCGAACCGAAGTAGCCCGGCCCGCGCGCGATCTCCATCGCCCCGCGCGTGCCGTGCACGCGATACCAGTTGCTGTGTCCCGGCAGGATCACGCCGAAGATCCGGAACACGGAGCCGTCTTCCATCCGGCAGAGGATCACCGAGCCGGGATCGCTGCGGCGCACGCTGAGCTCGTCGACCTCCGGGGCGGCGATGGAAAGCGCGTTGATCATCGTCGGCATCGATTCCGTGATGTACACCAGCGGCGCCAGCGCATGCGTGCAGTAGTAGGTCGACGGCAGCCAGTTGCGCCAGTGATGCTCGCCCGGGGCCAGACGCAGGCGCGCGTCGGGCGCCATGGGATGGTGTATTCGCCCTCGGCGTAGGTCACGCGGCCGATCTCGCCGGTGCGGTACAGCCTGCGCAGCTCCTGGCTGAAGACCGTGTAGCAGTAGTTCTCGGCCAGCATGTAGATGCAGCCCGAGCGCTCCGCCGCACGGCAGAGCGCCACGCCCTGGGCGATCGTGCCGTTGGCCGACGTCTCACTGAGCACGTGCTTGCCGGCGTCCAGCGCCTTGACCGCGAACGGCGCGTGCTCGTGGAAGTAGTTGGCCAGGATCACCGCATCCAGGTCGTGCTCCAGGAATGCGTCGTAATCGGTGAACGTGGCCACCCCGTAGGTGCGCCCGGCGGCCTGGAGGCGCTCCTCCCACACGTCGCAGATGGCGACCAGCTTCATCCCCACGGCATCCGTGGCGCCCTTGATGAAGCTCTCCCCGCGCCCTACGCCGACCACGCCGACGCGTATCTCACCCTCGTGCATGGACACCTCCCCGGTGCGCCTTCGTAGCCTACCCGATGCCGGTGCGTTCGCACACATTGAGTCCGTGGATGAGGAAGGACCCGCGGCGGCGCCGGCTACGCTTCCCCGTCTGCGGACAGCCGCCCGTCCGATCGCGCGGATCGGTCTGGTATGCCTTGCCGCAGCCGTCCTGACGGCACTCGACGGGGAGATGAGCTCGGGAGTCGATCCGCGCCCGGGAGCCCCCGGCGCAGGCGACCCGCTGTTTCCCGGCCTCGGCAACGGCGGCTACGACGTCTCCCACTACACGGTAGGAACTCGATGTCGACGTGGACGCCAACCGGGTTTCCGGCCGCACACAGATCGAGGCGGTCGCAACCCAGGATCTCTCGTCTTTCAACCTGGACCTGCGAGGACTCGACGTCACGGAAGTCAGCGTGAACGGGGCGGTCGGCCGGCCACGTCCGCGACGTATTCGAGCTGACGATCACACCGGCCACGCCGATACGGGCGGGAACGACGTTCAGAGCCAAGGTGGCATACGAGGGACGGCCTTGGAATCGACGGGCAACTCGCCCAGAACCCTGGTTAACTCCCCCAGAAGGCTGGTTCCGGTACGAGACCGGGATCGTCGCGTTCGGCGAGCCGCGCGGGGCGTCCTACTGGTACCCGGTCAACGAACATCCATCCGACAAAGCGACGTACACCTTCATCATCACGGTCCCCGAGCCTTACGAGGCTGCATCGAGCGGTGAGCTGGTCGAGACGGTGGATCACGGCGACACCGTCACCTACGTTTGGGAGAGCCGCCATGCGATGGCCAGCTATCTGACCGTCCTGGCAATCGCCCGGTTCGACGAGGTCGAAGGAGTAACGGCTTCAGGAGTACCCATCGCGCACTCGATCGAACGATCGGTCGACGAATCGGTACGGCACCGTCTGGACAGCACCGCCGCGATCATCGACTTCTTCAGCGACGTGTTCGGTCCGTATCCGTTCGAGTCCACCGGTGCGATCGTGATCGACACGGCGCTCCCGTTCCTGGCGTTGGAAACCCAACCACGCCCAATCTACGAAGCGCGGACCCTTGATTCTGGCGGCGACTCGATCGTGGCGCACGAGCTGGCGCACCAGTGGTTCGGCAATCTGCTCACTCCAGCCTCATGGCGCGACGTATGGTTGAACGAAGGGTTCGCGACCTACGCCCAATGGCTCTGGGCAGACCACGCGTTCGGCGGCCAAGACCGGCCCGATCAGTCTGGCGAATACGTGCTTCATGAGTCTGGTCGAGACAGGATCGATGACTTGGTGAGATCCGTCAGGGAACGTGATCTCGGGCCACCAGGCAATCCCGATCCCAGTAAGCTCTTTGCATTCACGATTTATGTGAGAGGCGCCCTGGTGTTGCACGCGCTGCGCGGAGAGATCGGCGACGAGGCGTTCTTCCAGGTGTTGCGCGAGTACGTGGCGCGGCACGCCGGCGGCAATGTGACGACCGCGGACTTCGTGGCGGTCGCCGAGGAGATCGCGGAACGGGACCTGGGCACCCTGTTCGACGCGTGGCTCTATGCCGAGCAGATCCCGCGCCCGACTGATCCGGCGTATCGAAGGGCCGATCGTCAGGGGCCGGTCATCGTGTCGTTGTGGCGTAGCCGATGCCGGTCTGTCCGAACGCGTTGCCGGTGTACCAGCAGCGGAGCCCGCCGTCGTGCGCGACCACCGCCGCGTACGAGCGCTGGTGATCGTCGAAGCTGCCTCCGGCGCCGACTCCAAAGTCTCCGTCGGGTCCGGAGGCCGTCCAGGTCCAGTTCACGCCGTCGCCGCTGACCAGGCTCCGCACGCGGTACGCCGTGCCGAAGGTGTTGACCCACATGATCCAGCCGCCGTCACGGCGCAGCACGAACGGCTTGGAGGCGATGTACTCGAAGGGGTGCTCGAACGGTTCGGTGGCGAATCCGCGGGGGCTCACCAGCAGACCGTCCAGCGGCTTGGTCCAGCGGATGCCGTCGGTGGACTCGGCGTAGCCCACGCCGATGTGCGGGATGACGTCTCCATGGCCGGTCCGTACTCCCGCCGGTTTGGGCGAGTAGTCGCCCAGGGCGGTGTAGTACATGCGCAAGAGGCCGCAGTCGGCGAGCACACACACGCTGCGCGGTACCCTCGCGATCCCACGGGCGGTCCAGGGGCAGGATCGGCGACTCCCCGGCGTGCCGCCACGTGCGCCCGCGATCATCGCTGAGAGCCAGACCGGTCGTGTTGGCCAGCTTGCCGTCTTCCCTGGGCACACCCCAGGCCCCGTAGTACAGCAGCCAGGGTCCGTCGTCGCGCGGCACCACGAACGGAAAGCTCGGCCCGCGGTCGTTGTAGGCGGTGCCGGCCTGGCGCTCCAGCACCGTTCCCGCGAAGCGCCACTCGTGCGGAGCGTGTACCGGTGCGAGCGCCAGACAGATGCGATGAAAGCCGTCCTCGCCGGTGCCCCAGTAGTACAGGTGGTAGCTGTCGCCGAAACGCAGCACGTGAGGGCTCGAGGCACGGCGGGCATCCACCGCTCCGCCCAGCCCCGGGGCGAGGACCGGGGACCGCGACGGAAACGTCCAGCCCAGCGCTGCGGCGTCTCGATCACGCGCTGATCGGGCGCGGCCCCAGTCCGGCGACCTTCAACAGCTCCCGTCGCGCAATGCCGACTTGTGGGCCATCACCCCGGGAGCCATGTAGCGCACCGCCTCCCAGATGTTGATCGCAGGATGCGGTCGTGCGCCACCGCGTCCACGACTCGTTGACCAGATATCCATGCGACCCGCGTGGCCGCCGTAGACGTCGGATGCCGTGCCTTCGCGGTACGCCTGCACGACCCCTCGTCGGGGAGCGGATCGCGCATCTCGTCGACCGTCACCGGGACGGCCCGCTCCAGTCGACCCAGGTTCATGTCCTTGTAGCTCCCGCGGCTGCCGAAGATCCGGAAGGTCTCGTCTCGCGGTGCCGACCTGGCGGAATCGCAGATGCGGCAGACGGCGCCGTTGGACATCCGAAACTGCGCGGTCTCGTTGCTGAACTCGCCTCCATAGAACGGATCACCTTCCGGGTCCGTGTACCCCAGGCAGCTCACCTGGACCATGTGCGCGCCCATGGCCGAAATCGGCCCACAAGTCGAGTGGGTCGGGTAGTGCATGGGGCCGGAAACCATGCCGCGACCGTGGTACTCCGCCTCCAGCCGCCGCCACTCGGCACCTGCCTTGCTGGCCAGCCGGCGGCGCTTCACCTCGCGCAGGTTGCTGTGCGGATCTTCCACGTCGTGGAAGTACTCGCCCTCGGCATAGACGAACCTCCCGAACGCGCCCTCGGCGCTCCGCCGCCGGCAGTACATCGCCTCCGGCCGATAGAACGTGGTCTCACCGAGCATATAGTGGAGCCCGGTTCGCTCCACCGCCCGGACCAGACGGTCGCACCAGTCGAGAATTTCGTCTCCGTCCGGGACCGTGATGATCGGCACGGCGCTGTACACGTGCTTGCCGGCCTCCAGTGCCGCAAGCGCCTGCGGCGCGTGCAGCCACGGCTGCGTGATGATCGCCACCGCGTCAAGGTCCGACGCGCACAGTTCCTCCAGGGAGTCGTAGGCGTCGGTGGCAGTGAATTTGTCCTGGAACGACGGGTCGCAGGCGAACCGCTTGACGCGTTCGGACTCCCGATCGCACAGGGCGATCCGGTCGACCAGCGGATGGCGCTTGAACAGGTGGGCAAAGGTGGAGCCGAAGGCGCCGAGGCCCGCGATTCCCAGAGAGATCCCCACGATTTGAGCCTCCTTCGAGAAAAAGGGAGCAGGCGGGCATGGCGCCCGCCTGCTCTTTCATACGATCGATCCGTGTCGCGGATCCGGTCGGCCTAGCTGCCGGTCAGCTCCCCGTAGCGCTCGTACTGCTGCTGGCGCACGGCGATGACGTCCGCGGCGCCCAGCTTGTTCAGGCCATCGACGAACTCGTCGAACTTGCTCAGCGGCTCCTGGCCGGTCACGAACTTGTCGAACCACTCCGTCTTGTAGGTGTTCAGATCCGTCAGGACGCGGTTCAGGATCTCCTGCTCGTCGAGCGTCGGCCGCACCTGCGGGAAGGACGGCGCCTTGTAGTAACCCTGATAGGCGTTGTTGGTGTCCAGCACCCACTGAGGATTCCGGAAGTCCCACGCATACGCCCACTGCAGGTGCGCGTACGGCGGCTGGCTGCCACCGATCTCGCGCAGCCGGCCATCGAACGGCTTGTCCTCGGAGCCGATGGTCTCGATCTCGCCGTTCACCATCCGGTAGCTGTCCCCACGATGCCGAAGTTCTGCAGCATCAGGGCTTCCTCGCTGTTGCGGATGAAGTCGATCCAGTGCATGGCCACTTCCGGCTGCTTGGCATCCTTCGTGATCCCCATCTGGTCGCCGCCGTAAATCTCGCGCTTCACGAAGAACTTGTCGCCGTACGGACCTTCAATGGGCGGACCGTTCTCGAACATCGGGATCGACCCGTCGGGCTTGCCGGCCGGGTGGGCGCCCGAGTAGATCCTGGCGAAGGTCGTCCAACAGGTGATCAGCCCGACCCGATCGTTGGTGACCTTCTCCAGGGTCTCCGTCCAACTGTCGGTGGCGTACGCCTTGTCGAGCAGCCCCTCCGTGTAGAGCTCGTTCAACCAGGTGAGGTACTCCTTCATGCGCGGGCTCTGAAAGATCCAGGAGACCTGACCGTCGTCGACCAGGTACTCGGAGACGATGGAGTACTCGAACCCGTAGAGGTTGCCCAGATACCGCAGGTAGCCGCGCCCGGCGGCAGGCACGATAAGAATCTCGTCGTTCTCGCCGTTGCCGTTCGGATCGGAGTCGCGGAACAGGCGCAGCGCCGTCATCATGTCGGCCTGGGTCTCCGGCATCTCGAGATGCCTACCGCGTCCAGCCACGGCCGGTTCCACAACGGCCCCTGGGACAGGTAGTGGGGCAGCACGTAGTTGCCCACGCCGTAGATGTTCCCGTCGGGGCTGGTGTCCAGGATCTTGTAGATGCCGTTGCTGCCGGTGTTCCACCACTGTTGATGTTGGGCGCGTACTCCTCCAGCAGATCGTTGAGCGGGATGATCAGCCCGTCGCGGCCGTGCTGGCCGATGTCGCCCAACAGCGACATGTTGATCACGTCCGGCAGATTCACGGCGGCCGCCAGCCGCGCGCGCATCACTTCCGCGTAGTTGGCCACCTGGATGTTCTCCCACTCGATGTGCACGCCGCTGAGCCGCTCCAGCTCCTGGTAGACCGGCGATCGTTGCTGGCCGGTACCAATGAGGGCGGCCCATCCGGTATGGGTGGCCACGTGCAGCGTCGGCAACTCGTCGGGCGCCGCCGCTTCCTCGGTCCCGTGTCCGAAGGCACCCGTGGCCGCCATGGCCACCACCATGCCAAGGACGACGATTCTCGATAGCTTCACTTCAGTTCTCCTTCGTTGTTTCGTTTCGGTGGTTTTCCATTGGTCCACCAACCAACTGATCGCTTCTGGAATCGGCTGGATTCTACCCCTTCAGTGCGCTCCTATCAACACGCCCTTGACGAAGTACTTCTGCAGGACGGATACAGCAGCAGGATCGGCAGCATCGCCACGATCATCACCGCGAACTTGATCTGCACCATCGCCATGATGCCCTCGCCAGCCTCCCCGGTCTCGAACTGCTGCACCGCCTCCGGCGATGCCTGGATCAGCACCCGGCGCAGGTAGATCTGGATCGGCTGCAGGTCGGCTTTCGGCAGGTAGAGCAAGGCAGGGAAGAAGCTGTTCCAGTGGGCGATCCCGTAGAACAGCACCAGCACGGCGACGATCGGCTTGGACAGCGGCAGCACGATCTTCCAGACGATGCGCCATTCGCCTGCGCCCTCGATCCGGGCGGACTCGAACAGATCCTCCGGAAGAGTCTGAAAGAACGTGCGGCAGATGATCAGGTTGAAGGTGGCGATCAACGGCGGGATCACGATCGCCCAGCGGGTGCCGTAGAGCCCCAGCTTGACCACCAGCACGAACAGCGGGATCAAGCCGCCGGAGAAGAACATCGTGAACACGATCAGGAACATCAGCACGCCGCGCGCCGAGAAGTTGCGCTTGGACAACGGGTAGGCGGCCATCACCGTGAACACCAGGTTCAGCGCCGTGCCCACGGCGGTATACCAAAGGGTGTTGTAGTAGCTTCTGATCACGACGGGATCGCTGAGCACGGTCCGGTAGGCGGCCAGACTGAACCCCTTGGGCAGCAGAAAGACCTCCCGCCTGGCGACGGCCACCGGATCGCTGATCGACATGCTGAGCACGAACAGGAACGGATAGAGGGTGACGACGAAGGCGATCGCCACGCCCGCGTAGACGATGGTATCGACCACCACGTCCTCCACAGTCAGCGCCTTCCTGATGCCGACCCTCCCCGAACTCACCACAGCGACGTATCCGTAAAGCGCCGCGCCAGCCGATTGAAGACTACCAGCAAGCCCAGGTTGACGACGTTCTTGAACAATCCCACCGCCGCCCCGAAACTGTATTCGCCGCTGACGATCCCGCGGCGGTAGACGTAGGTGTCGATCACGTCGGCCACCTCGTAGGTGGCAGGCGTATACATGAGCAGGTTCTTCTCCCAGTTGACCGACAGCGCGTGCCCGAGGTTCAGGATGAGCAGGATGATGATCGTCGGCGCCATGCCGGGGATGGTGACGAAACGGATCCGCTGCAGCCGCGACGCGCCGTCCACCTCCGCCGCGTCGTAGAGCTCCTGGCTGACGCCGGCTATCGCGGCCAGGTAGATGATCGAGCTGAAGCCAAACCACTGCCAGACGTGAGAGCCGATATACAGCGGGCGGAACCAGCTCTGCTGGCCCATGAAGTTGACGGCTTCGCCGCCCAGCGATTTGATGATGATGTTGATGATGCCGTTGTTGGGCGACAGGAAAGTGACCAGCATGCCCACGATGATCACCAGGGAGACGCAGTACGGCAGGTAGCTCACCGTCTGCGCGATGCGCTTGAGCGGCAGCACCTTCATCTCGTTCAGCATCAGGCGAAGATGATCGGCACCGGGAAGCCGAAGACAATCGTGTAGAAGCTGATCAGCAGGGTGTTGCGCATCAGCCGCGAGAAGTAGAACGACTCGAAGAACTGGATGAACCACTTGAGGCCCACCCAGTCGCTGCCGAAGACGCCCTTGGCGATCCGGTAGTCCTTGAAAGCAACGATGATGCCGGCCATCGGCAGATAGTGGAAGACGAGGTAGTATGCCAGCGGCAGGACCATCATGGCGTACCAGGCGCGTTCGAGCTTGAACCGCCTCCACCTCGCCGCCCACGGGGTTCGCCTGGTCAGGGTGGAAGCCGTGGACACGGCATTCCGCATATAGAGAGCCCTACTTTGCTCACCTGGCGGAAGGCTGTCAACGAGCGCGCTGACGGAGCCCGGGCATGCGCTTGTTTATTTCTTTGAGTTGATGTGCTTTAGGTGGTTTTGGCGGTCCGCATGAAGAGGCGGTTCTTGCCATCCTGGTAACGGTAGGTGATCTCGTCCATCATCGTGCGCACCAGATGGACGCCCAGGCCGCCCACCGGCCGGTCCTCCAGCGGAGCGTCCGGATCCGGGAGCGGCGCGTCTTCCAGCGGGTCGAAGCGCGGCCCGTCGTCCACGATCTCGATGGAAACGGCGTCCGCTTCGCAGACCACGACGACCTCCAGCTCGTGCGCCCCGGCCGACCGGCCGTGGGTCATCACGTTGAGGCTCATCTCCTCAAGCACCAGGTTCATGCGGAACAGGAAGTCCGGAGGCCACCCCTCACGCGCTCCCAGTTCCTCGATGGCATCCGCGATGTCCGAAAGCCGTTCGGGATCGGCCTCCAGCTTCATATGCAGATCGGCGCTCACGTCCCAAGAGTCCCCCATTCGCGCCACGTCCCGCACGAGCGCCTCATCCGCGGTCCCGTGCGGCCGATGATCGCCCCCACGGAACCCATCAATGTCAGGCGCTCACCGCCTGGATCGCCTCCTCCCTGGACGCGTGCACCTGGATGATGCGGTCGAAACCGCTGATCTCGAACACTTCCTTGATCGACGGCGAGAGCGAACAGATGGCGAACTTGGCTTGTTGCCGCTGCAGCCGTCTGGCGAGAAGCAGCGTCGCCCGCAGGCCCGAACTGCTGATGTAGGTAAGCTTGCCCATGTCCAGGACCACCGCGCGCTCGTCGTCGCCGACCGTTTTCTCGAATCCGTCCTGGAATTCCTGGGAATTGCTGCCGTCGATGCGACCGTCGACGGCCACGATCAACGCGCTGCCGTCACGCTCACTGCTGATTTGCACTCATCCTTCTCCCGTCATGCGGCATCCACCGCGTCGTAGCCTCCGATGATAGCCGATAACATCCCACGGGTCGATCGCCGCTCATGTGTCGACCCGCTTGCGCATGACGAGCCGATTGCGTTCACCCACACGCATATAGGACACCTCGTCCACCAGCGAGCGGCGCATCAGCCCCTCTCCCAAGCCTGCCGTCCCGCCCGGCTCCATGCCGAGGTCCCGATCACGCTCAGAGGGTTCCTCCATCGGATCGTAGGCCCCTCCATCGTCCTCCACCGTGACCTCGGCCACCCCGGCGTCGAGCGTGGCGCGCACCGTGATCTCGTACTCGCTGACCGCGGACAGCCGGTCATCGATCGCGTTGACCATGGTCTCCTCGAGCGCCTGCTGGAGGTGCTCGGCGACGCTCCCGCCGATGCCCCCGCTCTCCGCGAAGGCCCGGATCTCCTCGGCGATGCGGGGAAGATCCGCGCGGTTGTTGCGCAGCGAGAAACGGCGGACGGCGATCCTGTCCTTGGCCGTGTTGCGGTCCAGGGCCACCATGGTGATGTCGTCGAACTGGGCCGCTCTCGCCGGCGAACTCCTCGATCGACCGAAGCATCGTCACCAGCGTGTCTCCGGTGCTGCGATCGGCGCTCTGCCGGAGGATCTCTTCCATGCGCTCGTAGCCGTACTCCTCCTCGGCCAGGTTGGCCGACTCCGGGACGCCGTCGGTGTAGAGAAACAGCTTGCAGCCCGGCGGCACGGTCACCAGCCCTTCCTCATAGGTGAGCCCGTCGAACATCGCCAGGGCCACGCCCCCGGTCAGCGGGATCCGTTGGACCCCGTCGCGCGTCACCAGCACCGGCGGGTTGTGGCCGCCGTTGGCGTACACGAAGCTGCCGTCGCGAACGTCGTACACGCCGTAGAAGACGGTCACGAACATGTCCCCGCCGGTGGCCTCGACCAGGGTGTCGTTCACCACCCGCAGGCACTCGCCCGGTCCGTATTCCACCTGCCGGGCGGTGGCGCGGATGACGGTGCGTGTGACGGCCATGAACATCGACGCCGGCACGCCCTTGCCGGCGACGTCGCCGACGACGACGCCGATGCGGTTCTCGTCCAGGAGGAAGAAATCATAGAAATCGCCGCCCACTTCCTTGGCGGGATGCATGGCGGCCTGGATCTTGACGCCCGGCGCCTCGAAGCGTTCGCCGGGAAGGAACGAACGCTGCACGCGGCTGGCGATCTGCAGGTCGCGCTGCAGGGCCATGTAGGCGGTCTTGGTGCGCAGCGCCTCCTGCAGTTGCGCCACCAGGGTCGTCAAGCGCTGCTGCTGGCGGCCTACCCGGCCGGTCATCTTCTGGAAGGCCATTCCGATCATCTGCAATTCGTTGCCGCCTTCGTGGTCTCCGGTCCCGTCGGTATCCGCCGCGCCGCCGGGAGCCTGGACTTCGGCAAGGTCCGTGAGGATGTCCCGACGCTCCTCCTCGTTCAGCGTGTCGGCAAGGGCGCGTCATCTCGCCGTGGATGAAGCGTTCCTGCTGGCGCCGGCGAAGCAACGCCCGGCGGCGTGCCGGCGCAACGCCAGCGTCTGCGTCCGGAACGTGTTCACGGCACGGGCGATCCGCGCCACCTCGTCGTCGCTCTCCTCTTCGCTCACCGCCACGGTCGCCTGCGTGTCGCCGCGCGAGAGCGCGTCCAGCACGACGACGCCGTCCGTCAGGCGCGAGAGCGCGCTCCGCAGATAGAGCGTGAGGCCGACCAGCGACACGAGCACGAATCCCGCTCCCGCCAGGGCGTGATCAGACTGACCCGCCGCTGGTCGGCGTAGACGGCGCTCACGTCCTGGACCGTCACCACGCTCGCCACCAGGTTGCCGAGCTCCGCATCCAGCGGGAACGCGGCGCGCGAAAACACCTGGTCGCCTGAGCGCACCGGCTCGGACGTGCTTCCCGCCAGCCATCCCGTGCCGCCGATGCGCTCCCAGACTGCCGGATCGGTCCCCACCAGCAGCCGACCCCGCCGGTTCACGATCAGCGCCTCGGCCCCGGTGTCCGCCTTCAGCTCGGTCAGCGCCTCCAGGATGTCCGTCGCAAGGATGGCTACCGCGAGCAGGGCGCCGTCGGCGTCATACACCGGCACGCCCACGGACAGGGTGACGTTGCGCTCGGCGTCGATCGCCACCCCGCCGCCGCTCCACCCTCGCTCGATCATGCGCGCCAGCGCGTCGTCGCTGGCGGCGGCAGCCGGCTCGAATGCCGGCATGGAGGAATACGGAACCTCCCTGGTGGGCGAAACCAGATCCAGGCGGGTCACGTCGCCGGTGTCCCGCAACTCCCCGAGCGCCACCTGCGCCGCCTGAGAAATCTCTCCCGGGTCCCCGCTCTCCAGGGCCGCGCGCAGCGCCTGATTCTGCGTGACGACCGGCGCGCGCTCGCGCATGCGCTGCACGCCGGTCTCGACGATCTTGCCCCAGAGCGCGCGGCTGCCGGTCCTGGCGGTGCGGTCGAGCTGGTCTCGCAGCGCCTGCTCGCGCAGGTTCGCCGCGAACACCAGGCCGGCCACCATCACCGCCATGAACCCGATGACGATGACTCCGATCCGCGCCTTGAGGCCCATCGGCCCTACTCCACCACCTGTGCCACGCGCAGCAGGCTGAGCGGGGGATAGATCTCCAGCTCCAGGGCCACCGGCATGCGGATGAGCAGCGCGAAGCGCGCCAGCGAGGCGACCGGGATGTCCTCCGGCCGCTCGCCGCCGACCAGAATCCGTTCCGCCTGGGCGCCGGCGAGCTTGCCGACCAGGTAGTAGCGGCTCACGTAGCCGAGCACGGCCCGGGAACCCTCGAAGGTCGCCTCGGTTCCGGCGAACGTCGGCAGGCCGCGCTCCGCCGCGTAATCGGTGATCGCGACCCTGTTTCTGGTCACGAAGGAATCCGGACCGATATAGAGGAACTGCGCTCCGCCCTCCACCAGTGCATCCACCGCTTCCGGCAGGCGGTTGGGGTCGGTGCTGCCCTCGGCGTCGAGAGGCACCGGGGACTGCAGCAACTCGATGCCGCGCTCCGACGCCGCCTCCTTGAGCTCCTCGACGTTGATCACGGAGTTGCGCTCCAGGGAGTTGTAGACCACGCCCAGACGCTCGACGGAGCGGTACTCCAGCAGGGCGTCGAGCTGCTTCGCCACCGGCGGCAGGAACGCCGTGCCGGTGAGGGGACGGCCGGTCGATCTGGAAGCTCGCAACGATGTTGGCCTCGATCGGATAGGCCACGATCGAGAACACGCCGGGGATCCCTTCGACATGCGTGGCCGGGTCCGTGCCGCCCAGCGGTCCCACACGCCGAGGGTGGCCGAGGTCCCGAACGTGTGCACCAGATCCGGCTTGGCGGCCCGGATCTCGGCGACGATCTCCGGTATCCTGCTCCGGTCCTGATTGATGTTGCGCAGCGTGTAGCGCACCGGTATGCCCCGCTCCCGCATGTGCGCCCGGAAGCCATGCTCGACCACGGTCTCGCGCGCCACACCACCAGAAACACGTGGAACGGGGGTCCGGCGGCGGTCTGGGCGGCCGCCGTGCCGGCCAGCGCGAGGATCATCGCCGCCGCGGCGGCCGCCGCGAGCGCTCTCACGCCGGCACCCCGATCGCCCTGCGGGCCGCGCCACCGGCTGCGACATAGAGCACGGTGCAGATCAGCACCAGCGCGCCGACCGCCAGCATCGCGTCCCCGTACGTCAGGGCTGCCACGGCCGCGCCTACCAGAATCGCGCCCGCCGCAGTGCCGACGCGTTCCAGGGTGCGGAACATGCCGACGATCGCCCCCGGTCCGAGCCCCAACTCACGGCTCGCGTCCTGCGCGATCTCCTGGATCACGGCGAGCTGTGGAACGGTGACCATCGCGTGACCCGCGCCCATCAACGCCACCGCTGCCAGCACCAGGCCGGTCGCGTCCGTCAGCGCCGGTAGCGCGCACCCCACGCCGATGACGCAGCCGCCGGCAACCATCAGGACCCGCGGCCGCCTGACGCGGTCCAGGCGGCGAGCTACCAGCGGCGTGACCAGCACGCACGCGATGCCGTACGCCATCATCACCCGGCCCACGTTCGACTGCACGTTGCCGAGCTCGGCCAGATAGCGCGGCACGAGGTAGAAAAACAGGCCGCCCAGAACCAGCTTGCTCGGCAATGCCGAGAGCACGGTCACGATGAGAAACTCGCGGTGCGCCAGCAGCCGGAGCCAACCATGTATGCCGCCCCGCGGGCCGTCCAGCCGGCGGACGCCTCCCGGGTCGATCGTGACGAGCGCCGCCGCCGCGGAGACGGCGGCGAGTGCGGCCGCTACCAGCAGGGTGTCCTGGTAGCCCAGACGGTCGGCCAGCATCCCCCCGATCGCGGGACCGCAGACGAATGCCGCGAACACCGCCCCGAGAAACCCCGCCATGCCGGTCGCCCGGCTGGTTTGCTCCGTGTGCTGGGCGACGTAGGCCTGCGCGCGAAATGAAGATGATGCCGTAGCCCAGACCGGCAATCGTCCACCACATGATTCCCTGGACAAGGCTCGTGGCGAATGCGGTCCCCACGTGTCCGACCACCGACGGGACGATGCCGGCGACGAACATCCCGCGCGGCGCGATCCGGTCCGTCAGCGCTCCGGCGATCGGGATCGATACGAGCACCATGGTCATGAACGCGGTAATCGGCAGTCCGATCGTCACGTCGCGGCTCAAGCCGAAGATGGGCGTATAGATCTCGTCGAAGAACAGCGGCAGGAACGGACGTGAGATCTCCTGCGCCAGCATGAACAGGAACAGCGGAATCCGCACGTCCATCGGCGAGCGGGAAACGAGCGTGTTCTCCGAGCCGGGGGTCGCGAAGTGGAAGCGCGTCCTGATGTCCGAGACCACGTCCCTGATACGCTGCTGGACGCCCCGATCGAGCTGCACCTCATGCGCGTCCTCGGCTTCCTCCACCAGTTCCGCGAACGCGGCGTTGATGCGGTGCAGCGCGGCGTTGATGAGCTGACCGAAACGCCCGACCTCGTCGCGGTGGCGCACGCCGAAGCGGCTGCCGAAGTCACCCCTGGCGCTGAGCGCCAGGAGCCGATCCGCGAGCCGGATGGGCCCGGAGATCCGCACCACCACCAGGGCCACCAGCACTCGATCTCCGATCAGCAGGGTGACCAGCAGGACGGTGCCGATGTCCAGCCGCAGGGCCGCCAGCTCGGAGCGCACCGTCCCCTCCTGCACCTGTACCCGCAGGGACGCGACCCGCCTTCCGTTGTCGAGCACGATCGGCACCGTCAACTCCGCGTCGGCGGCGTCGCGCGTCGACTCCGACAGGGTCCCGCGCGCATAGAGCTCGACGTCGTTCGGGTCCAGGACGGCCACGTACCGAAAGTCCTCGTTGTCCGCAAGCACCCCGTCCAGAAACTCGTCCATCTCCACCAGCGAGCGGAGCGGAATGCCCAGGGACACGGCATAGCCGATCTGTTCCGCCACCAGCTCGCCCGCCACCTCCGCCTTGCGCCGGACCTCGGGAAGCAGGGTGTCCTCGAACGTCCTGGCCAGCAGGAACGACAGGACCCCTTGCGACAGGATCAGCAGCAGCGCCGTCAGGCCGGCGAGCCGCAGGACCACGCTTCGGTAGACGTCCCGTTCGGACCGCTCCAGGGACGGGTCCGGCACGCCGCCGACGCGGCGACCGCAGGCCGCGCAGGCTCATCGCGCGCCGCCGGCCCCAACCTGCTGGCCGGCCTCCCGTGCGATGCGCCGAATCTCCTCGGCTCCGTCGGCGACCGCTCGCCGTGCCGCCTCCGTCGTTTCCGCGAACCGCACCGCGTGGGGATCGGGTCCGCCCCGGTATCCTCGATCTCCGGATCGATGGGCGCCTGCATCGCCTGCAGCCGATGCCGCAGCGGACGGGTCACGAACACCGAGAGCACGGCGCCGAGCAGCACGAACCCGACCACGATCGCGGCGCACAGCCCGGCGATCCGCAACGCCATGTCCTGCACGTTCTCGTCGAACTCGGTGCGTGAGAAACGCAACGCAAGCGATCCCACCGCATGCCCCAGGCTGTTCTGCACCCGCAGGCCGACCACGTGCGCGTCCGGCTCCTCCTCCGACCACACCGGCTCGCCCGCGTTCCACTTGGCCACCCAGTCCTCGGACACCAGGTCGCCGCGCAGGCTCTCGTCCGTGCTGTAGAGGACGATCCCGCGCTCGTCGAACATCTCGATCGACAGCACCTGGGGATGCTGCTGAATGCTGTCCTGCAGGTCGGCGTCCACGCCGGGCAGCGCATCGAGGGCCAGTCCCAGCGACAGTGAGGCTCTATGTTGTGACCGACGTCCTGCAACACCAGCGCGTGCCGGTCGCGCAGCAGTCCTGCGAGGTAATTCCTGTATTCGTATGGTTCAGCAGGCCGTCAGGGAAACGGCGGAGGCCAGGATGAAGCAGATGCTCGCCGCCACGCGTGGACGAAGGCTGAACCGAACCGCCGGCGACTGCGGTTGGCCCGTCGCTGTGGCATCCCGCATGCAAAACGTGCGCGCCGCGTGACGCCGTGTCAATCGAGCGCGCCTTCCGGCCTTTCAGGCGCTCCTAACGGACGGCAACAACAGTTCTCTTGATGATGCACTGTCGCCGCCCACGATTCCCGAACGTTACCGGCGCTCAGGAGTCGCCGAGCCCCAGGGCGCCGGCGCGCTCGGCCTGCCACGCTGCTATCTCGGCCGAGGTGATTTCATGCCGGTGCCACAGCGTCCAGTTCAGGCAGGCGATCAGGTCGTCGGGATGCTCGACCCCGATGCCCAACCGCACCAGCCGATCCACGCCGATGCGCCGCACCTCCTCCTCGGCCGTGAAGTATTCGGATACCGAGCGATGGTGGTTCAGCTTGGTGGCCAGGCCGTCGAAGCTGAGCGCGTAGCGCAGCACCCCGCACATCGCCAGCACGTCGCAGAAGTGGCGGGCCTGCGCCTCGTCGGCGTCGCGCAGCCGGAAGCTCACGATCGAGCCCGGTTCGGTGTAGTGCGTGGCGATCACCGCGGCGTCCGGATGGCCGGGCGCCGTGGGGTGGAACACCGCCTCCACCAGCGGATGGGCGGCCAGGAACGCGGTCACCGCCCGCGCGGTGGCGCAGCGCCGGCGGAAGCGCGGTTCGGCCTGATCCAGGCCGGTCAGGATCGCCGTGGCGCGCCGCCAGTCGGCGATGCCGCCGCGCATCGCCTGCAGATCCATCACGCCGTTGAGCAGGCGCACATCGTCGGAGGCCAGATACCCCCACATGTCGCGGTCCTGTCCGGCCAGCGCCTTGGTGCCGGACACCACCACCACGTCCACGCCGTCCCAGCTCAGCGCCGGCTGCGCCAGGCCCCAGGGGCTGGCGATGGTGCTGTCGAGCGCCACCACCAGCCGCGCGCCGCCGGCCGCGCGCGCGGAGCCCACGGCGCGCGCCAGCGCCTCCGGGTCGACCGCCCGCATCAGCGGGTTGGTATAGGTCTCGACGAACAGCAGCCGAGTGTCCGGCCGCAACGCGGCGGCCAGCCCCGCGTAGCTCAGGTCGTCCACCAGGGTCAGCTCGCCGCCGAGCAGCGTGGTCAGCCGGCTCAGGTACGCCTTGCTCTTGTTGTAGACGCCGCGCGCGCACGCCACGTGGTCGCCGGGCTCCAGCAGCGCGTCGAACAGCAGCGCGCACGCCTGCATGCCGGTGTCGGTGAGCACCGCCGCCTGCGCCCCCTCCAACTCGCGGACCCACGCCAGCAGCCGCCGCGACGGCGTGGTGCCGTAGCGGCCGTAGATCTGCGGCAGGTCCGACCAGCAGGAGGAGCCCAGGAACATCAGCTCCTGCTTGCGCTCCTGCCACCGCACCATGGGGCCGCTGCCGAGCAGGTCGAGCTGGATCGTCTCTCCGTCGGGATGCAGATACGGCACGCCGGTGCGGCGCATCGCGGCGTCGATGCCCTCGTGCAGGCCGCGGGTGGCGGCATCCATCGACGCGAGCGCAGGCGGTCCGGCGGCGTCCCCGCCGGATCGAGGTAGGCGCCGATCACCTCCGCAGCGGCCCTCGTCACTCGATCCGCGGCGCACGTCTCACGAAGCCTGCACGAGGTCGCACGCCTCCGGCGGCATCCAGTGCGCGTCCTCACCCGCCCACTTGACGTTGCAGCCGAGCGGGTTGGTCAGCTCGACCGGCACGGCGCTGCCGGCCAGCACCGCGTCGGCCGCGTCGCGCAGCTCATGGGTGCGCGCGTTGGCGGGATTGCGCGGATCGTCGTCCATGCGGCCGGTGTAGCGCAGCTTCCGGTCCGCGTCGAACAGGAATAGTGGGGGTGCGCAGCGCGCCGTAGGCCAGGGCGACGCTCTGATCGTCGTCGCTGGCATATACGAACCGGAAGTTCTTCTCCGCGGCGCGCGTGACCATGTGCTCGAACGAGTCGTCGGGATGATTCTCGGTCTCGTTCGAGTTGATCGAGATCATGGCGACGCCCCGCGGCGCGTAGTCGGCCGCGAACGCGTTCATGCGGTCCTCGCTGCCGATCACGAACGGGCAGTGGTTGCACGAGAAGACGACGACCAGCGCCGCGCTGCCGGCGAAGTCGTCCAGGGTATAAGTCTTGCCGTCGACGGCGGGCAGCGAGAAGTCCGGCGCCCGGTCGCCGATGTCCAGGGTGAAAGCCATCGGTTCCTCCTTCGGAATCGTCACACGAGTATTCCCCGGGCTCGGCGCCGCTTCAACCGGGAGGCGCTGGCGACTGCCTCAGACCTTCACGGCGCGGACGGCAGGCGGTACAATGAGCAATCGGTACCTATGATGAAAAGCCAATCAGGATGACGAATTGGGATTCGGAAACGGCCCGTGGCGCCCGCATTTCGGCGACGGTGAAATGGTACGATCCGGCCAAGGGCTACGGCTTCCTCGAACCGCCCGACGACTCGCCCGACGACTCGCCCGACATCTTCTGCCGCAAGCCGGCGCTGGTGGCGGTCGGCCTGGACGTTCTTCTCTCGGGGGCGACGGTCGACTGCGAGACGATGCAGGGCCATCGCGGGCCGGAGGTCTCCCGCATCCGCGCTGTCGATTTTTCGACTGCATCGCCCAATCCGGCGGCCGGCAACGGATCGAGGGCCGAACGACCCGGCCCTGCGCAGGCCGCAGCCCCCGTCTCCAGCCGCCGGATCAGGGCGCTGGTGAAATGGTTCACGCCAGACCAGGGATACGGTTTCCTCGAGCCCGAGGACGGCTCTGCCGATGTGTTCTGCCACGTGAAGGATCTTCACGCAGCGGGCCATGAAACCCTTCCCGAGGGCGCGGCGGTGACCTGCGAGGTCGTACCCGGCGACAAGGGCCCCCAGGTCTCCAGAATCCTCGACATCGACGTCCCGGCGGCGCGGAGGGACGGTGCGATAAACGGCCGGCCCGGGCGCGGGCCGCGCCAGGGCCGGCACGACGCCGGGCCCGGCGAAGGTCCCCTGGCGGTGCAGGGTACGGTGAAGTTCTACGACACGGCCAGGGGATACGGCTTCATCGTGCCGGACGGCGGCGGCCGCGAGGTGTTCGTCCATGCCAGCGTCCTGATACCCTTCGGCTTGGGCGACCTGCAATCGGGCCAACGCCTCCGCGTTCGGGCGGAAGAGGTGCCACGCGGGCTCCAGGCGACGGAAATCGAGCCGATCTGAACGCACCTGCGGTCGTCCTTCATTCCGGCCAGACCAGCACCGGCCGGCGCGCGGCGGTCACCTCGTCGAGGCGCCCGATCGGCGTGGAGTGCGGGGCGGTGCGCACCAGCTCCGGCGTCTCGGCCGCCTCCGCCAGGATGGCGCGCATGGCCGCCACGAACTGGTCCAGAGTCGCCTTGGACTCGGTCTCGGTGGGCTCCACCATCAGCGCTTCGGGCACGATGAGCGGGAAGTAGATGGTCGGCGGATGGATGCCGTAGTCGATCAGGCGTTTGGCGATGTCCAGCGCACGCACCCGGTGCTCCTGTGCCTGCAGGCGCGCGCTGAAGACCACCTCGTGCTTGCACCACCCGCGGATAGGGCACCTCCAGCACAGTCGGCGAGCGCGGCCCGCACGTAGTTGCCGTTCACCACCGCCAGCCGGCTCATGGCGGCAAGCCCGTCGCCGCCCAGCGACCGGAGGTACGCGTCGGAGCCGCGCACGGCGTTGTTGACGTTGCCGTAGAAGGCGCGCACGCGGCCGATCGAGTCCGGCCGATCGTAGTCGTGGCGGTACGTCTCCCCGTCGCGGCGCACCACCGGCGCCGGAAGAAAGCGCGCCAACTGCTCGGTGACCGCGGTCGCGCCAGCTCCCGGCCCGCCGCCGCCGTGCGGGACGCTGAACGTCTTGTGCAGATTGAAGTGCAGGATGTCGGTGCCCAGATCGCCGGCCGCGCCACGCCGACCATCGCGTTCATGTTGGCGCCGTCCATATAGACCAGTCCGCCGACCTCGTGCACCGCGGCGGCGATGTCGGTGACGCGTTCCACGAACAGCCCCAGCGTATTGGGGTTGGTGATCATGAGCCCGGCCACGCTGTCGTCCAGCGCATCCTGCAGCGCCGCGAAGTCCAGGTTGCCGTCGGCCCCGGTCGGCACCGTGCGCGACCGGTAGCCGGCCATGGCGGCGGTCGCCGGGTTGGTGCCGTGCGCGGAGTCGGGCACCAGCATCGTCGTGCGCTGCGAGCCTGCCGCCCCTTCCCCACGAGCATGGTGGTACGCGCGAATGATGAGCGCGCCGGTCAGCTCGCCGTGCGCGCCGGCCGACGGCTGCAGCGACACGCCGGGCAGCCCGGCGATCTCGCCCAGCCACTCCTGCAGCTCCCAGAGCAGTCGCAGCGCCCCCTGCACGGTCGCCTCGTCCTGATAGGGATGGATCAACGCCAGCCCGGGCAGGTCGGCGATGCGGTCGTTGATCTTGGGGTTGTACTTCATGGTGCAGGAGCCCAGCGGATAGAAGCCCTGGTCCACCGAGAAGTTGCGCCGCGAGGTGTTGGTGAAGTGACGCACGACCTCCGGTTCGGACAGCTCCGGCAGGGGCAGCTCGCGCGGCACAACTCCGCCGGCAGCGCCTCGCGCGCGGCACGTCGAGCGGGGGAGCTGCACGCCGGTCCGTCCCGCGACCGAACGCTCGAACAGCAGCGGCTGCTCCGGCAGCAGGGCCGCGCCGGACAGGGCCGCGCCGGACGGGGCCGCGCCGGACAGGGCCGCGCCGGACGCGTCACCGGCGCTCATGCCGCCCACCTCCCTCACCGCCGCCACCAGCCGGTCGATGTCGGCTCGGCTGTTGAGCTCCGTGGCGGTCAGCAGCCAGCAGCCGTCCAGGCCCAGGTCGAAGCGGCCCAGATCCAACCGCCGACGATGCCGTGTTCCTCCCAGAGCCGCCGGTTCAGCTCGGCCGGCGCTACGGGCGTGCGCACGACCATCTCGCGAAAGAAACGCCCGGAGAACCGGGCATCGATCCCCGCCACGCGAGCGAGCTCCGTGGCCAGGTAGTGGGAGCGGTGGTAGCAGTGCTCGGCCACATCGCGCAGCCCGGACGGCCCCAGAGCCGCAAGGTAGATCGCCACGGCGGTCGCGATCAGCGCCTCGTTCGTGCAGATGTTGCTGGTCGCTTTCTCCCGGCGGATGTCCTGCTCGCGCGGCTTGAGGGTCAGCACGAAGCCGCGCCGGCCGCGCTCGTCGTGGGCGATGCCGGCCAGGCGGCCCGGCATCTGGCGCACGTTGCGCATCGAGGTGGCCAGCAGCCCCACGTAGGGGCCGCCGTAGAACAGCGGTATGCCGAGCGGCTGCCCCTCCGCGGTGGCGATGTCGGCGCCCAGCTCGCCGGGCGGCCGCAGCACCGCCTGCGCGATCGGGTCGGCGGACACCACGGCCAGCGCTCCGGCCGCGTGCGCGAGCTCGCAGAGCTTCGCCAGCGGCTCGATCACGCCCAGGAAGTTCGGGTAGGCAAGCAGCAGGGCCGCCGTGTCGGCGCCGAGCGCCCGTTCCACCGCGGCGGGATCGGTGCGTCCCGACTCGCGGTCGAACGGGATGGTCACGATGCGCAGCCCCAGGCCGGACAGGTAGGTGGCCAGCACCTCCCGTACTCCGGGTGGACCGCCTCGCTGACCGCTATCGTCTCCCGGCCGCGCCGCAGCCGCGCGGCCATGGGCGCGGCCTCCGCCAGCGCGGTGGAGCCGTCGTACATCGACGCGTTGGCGACCTCCATGCCGAGCAGCCGGGCGATCAGCGTCTGGAACTCGAAGATCGACTGCAGCGTGCCCTGGCTCACCTCCGGCTGGTAGGGGGTGTAGGCGGTGTACAGCTCGCTACGGAACAGCAGGTGCGGTATCACCGCCGGCGTGTAGTGGTGGTAGGCGCCGGCGCCCAGAAAGCAGCTAGCCGGTCGAGCGCGCTGTTGCGGTCGGCCAGGTCGCGAAAGACGGCGGCCACCTCCGGCTCGCTGATCCCGTCCGGCAGGTCCAGCCGCGGGAACCGTTGGGCACGCGGGACGTCCGCGAACAACTCCTCTATCGAGGACACGCCGATGGCGTCGAGCATCGCATCGATCTCGGCGCCGGTGTGGGGCGCGTACTGCACGGCGGTCTCAGGCCGACTGGACGAGCCGGGCGTAGGCCTCCGCGTCCAGGAGCTGCGCATCCTCCACGTCCAGCCGGCCGGCCGGACCTTGATGATCCAGCCGTCGCCGTACGGCGATTCGTTGACGAGCTGCGGCGCACCTTCCAGGTCGCCGTTCACGGCGACCACCTCGCCCGATACGGGGGCGAACAGGTCGCTGGCCGCCTTGACGCTCTCGATCACCCCGAACGGGCTGCCCTGGCTGATCCGGCTGCCCACCTCGGGAAGCTCCACGTAGACCACGTCGCCCAGCTCGAGCTGGGCATGGTCGGTGATGCCGACCACGACCATCTCGCCGTCCTGCCGGATCCACTCGTGCTCGGCGGTGTATCGCAGATCTTTCGGGAAATCCATCACTGCTCCCTCTATTCGGGCTGCCCTCTTTTGCCCTCTATTCGGGCTTCCTTCGATAAAATGGGCGTTCGACGACCGTTGCGGCTACCGCGCGCCCCCGGATCGTCACCGTCAGCTCGCCTCCCACGGCCGCGTGCTCGCGCGACACCAGACCCATCGCCACGCTGCGCTCCAGCCACGGCGCGTAGCCGCCGCTGGTCACCGTTCCCACCGGCTCGCCGCCGGCGGTCGTGATCGGAAAGCCTTGACGCGCGATGGCCCGTCCGGAGAGCTGCAGGTGCGCCAGACGCCGCGCCATGCCCGACGCGCGCTGCGCCGCGATGGCCCTCGCGCCGATGTAGGCGTCGCCGCGCGACACGAACCGGCCAAGCCCCACCTCCAGCGGCGACACCTCGCGGCCAAGCTCATGCCCGTACAGCGGGAACGATGCCTCCAGCCGCAGCGTGTCACGGGCGCCGAGCCCGGCCGGTTCCAGGCCGGCGGAGGCGCCCGCCTCCAGCAGCGCCGTCCACAGCGCCTCCGTGCGCTCGGCGGCGGCGAACAGCTCGAACCCGTCCTCGCCCGTGTAGCCGGTGCGCGCCACCAGCGCCGCGGCGCCGGCCACCTCGGTCTCCCGGCAGCGATAGGTGCGAATGGCGGCGAGGTCGGCCGCGGCCACGCCCTGCAGGATCCCTTCCGCGCGCGGCCCCTGGATGGCGATCAGTCCGGTCTC